CAAGTAATTTGCAGCTTTAGTGAGCTCTTCAGGAGTCCCAATCATATTTAAATCATCAACATAAACTGTAATGATTACAAACTCAGATCCACTCTTTTGATAAAAACACATAGGCATATTGGATCATTTAAATAACCTTCCTTTATCAGATATTCACCAAGGCGGTTATACCACATTCGTCCGGCTTGTTTTAAGCCATACAAAGATTTACACAATTTAATTGAATAAAGCTCTCGAGAACCAAATCCTTCAGGGATCTGAAATCCTTCCAGGATTTACATGTGAATTTCATTATCAAGTGATCCATATAGATAGGTTGTCACAACATCCATAAGATGCATTTCTAGTCTTTCACTTGTTGCCAGACTTAACAAATAGCGAAACATTGTTGCATCCACCATAGAAGAATATGTCTCCTCATAATCAATGCCCGGTCGCTGGGAAAAACATTGTGCGACGAGACGTGCTTTATAACGCTCGATTTCATTTTTCTCATTTCTTTTTCGCACAAATACCCATTTGAATCCTACCACTTGCACATCTTTAGGTCTGCACATTATTGGTCCAAAGACTTTACGTTTACCTAATTAATTTAATTCTGATTGATAGCGTCTTTCCATTTTAACCAATCTTTTCTTCGTCTGCACTCATCTACAGACCTTGGTTCTTGATCCTCATTTTCATTTATAATATTAACTGCTGAAGCATAGGCAAATTTATCGTCGACTTCTGTTGTACATCGGTTCCACTTTTGTCCCGTCATAACATAATTAATTGAGATCTCAAAACTTTCAAATACCTGAACTTCTTCAGGAAGTTGGTTTTCTGTTACTTTCGGCAAGCGGAAGCTGATGATTCTGTTCTAGAGGAAAACCAGAAGGTTTGGCACCTAGCAAACCAACCTCAGAGATTAATGTCAAGAGTATATTTCCTTTGGTAGAGAAAAATGCTAGAAGAATTACGAGCAACCTTAATACCCAAGAAATACATAAGAGCACCAAGATCTTTCATATGAAAGCAAGTACTCAAAGAAAGCTTAAATGCAGAAACAACAGAAGAATCATTCCCACCAATAAGAAGATCATCAACATAAACAAGAACATAGAGACGAACAGTACGCTGATGATAGGTGAATAAAGAATAGTCAGAAGAAGACTGACAAAAACCATAAGTCTTCAAAGCACCTGCCAGCTTAGGAAACCAACAACGAGGAGCCTGCTTTAAACCGTGAAGCGAGCGTTTAAGATGACATACTTGGCCCGGAGATGAAGAATGAAAACCAGGAGGCAACTTCATGAAAACCTCCTCATGAAGATCACCATGAAGGAAAGCATTGTGCACATCCATCCGATGAAGTTCCCAGTTCTGAGCACCAGCCACAGCAAGAAAAACACATACAGTGACCATTTTGGCAACGGGTGCAAAAGTCTCCTGGTAATCAAGACCCTCAACCTGTTTGGTACCAAGAATAACCAGTCGGGCTTTATAGCGCTCAATGGAACCGTCAGACCTGTGCTTAATTTTATAGACCCACTTACAACCAATGGCCTTTTTGCCAGAGGGAAGGGGTTCCGGAGACCAAGTATTGTTGTTTTCAAGAGCATCAATTTCGCATTGCATAGCAGCACGCCGATTCTCATCTGCAACAGTTTCAGCAAATTAAAGTGCGAGGTTCAACAGTGGCAGACACAGCTGCCAAAAGTATCTGATGTGCTGGGGAAAATGAATGGCATAGGATAGGGCGTACCTAAGGACGAGTGAGGATCAGTTGAACTTGTAGAGGGGCAAATAGTGGGAAGAATATAATCACGGAGGCGAGTGGATGGAACCTTATTGCGGTGGCCACAACCGAGCAACTCTGTAGGAGCAACATGAGCTGGAGTAGGAGAACCCCCTCCACCGACCACAGTATCACCGGAAGTAGGAGGTGATACAGGATCAGGAGTCAATTCAGCAGAAGTAGCAGGCACGAGATCATCATCATCATCATCAACAAGAGGTAAAATGCTAGGAATAGGGGTAGGAGGTAAACAGACACTGGAGGAAGTTTGAAAGGAAATTCGGACTCACAGAACTTAACATCATGAGAAACAAGAAATTTCTCAGACTCAAGATCATAAACAGACCAACCCTTTTTTCCAAATGGATACCCCAGAAAAACACATTTCCGACTACGGAAAACAAACTTATCTCCTCGATGATCCTGGTTATGAACAAAGCATAAGCAACCAAAGACACGCAAATGATTAAGATCGGGGGGTTTCCCAAATAACATCTCATAGGGAGTATAACCATATAAGACAGAGGAAGGGGTGCGATTAATCAGACAGCCTGTAGTAAGAACACAATGCCCCCAGAATTCAATTGGAAAATTGGCCTGAAAACGCAAAGCACGAGCAACATTCAAAATGTGCTGATGCTTGCGTTCAACAAGACCGTTTTGTTGAGGATTACCAACACAGGAAGTTTCATGAAGGATGCCTTGGGAACAAAAATAAGAACCCAAGCAAAAAAATTCTGGCGAACAACTTTGACTAATTTATCAAATAGACGATGAACATAGCAATGAAATTGCCAATTTTAATTGCAGCCGCAATGAATTACCAAGTTCCGATCGATACGAACTCTGCATTTACAGTTGGAAGCTGAACTCTTGGAAGAGAATCAGGGATGCCATACTATTTGAGATGCTTGATGAATTCAATTTTTTCTTTCCTCACGATTGCGCTTTTGAAAATGGTGCGTTACATTGGTACGTTTCCGATAAACCGAGGTACACCGAGAAGTTTATTGTCGCTTTTGATCTTGGAATCGAGGAATTTCGGAAGATATCATGTGACCCTTGCCCTTTAGGTCCAAATTACACTTATAATCAGAAGCTGTGTCCTTTGAATGGATTGCTTTGTTGTCTTGTTTTTTGCGCTTCTCGCGTTAAGCGCGGTTGGGATCTATGGTTGATGGAGGATTATGGAGATGAGGGATCTTGGATTAAGTTAACTTCTATTGATTTTCCTAGTGGTTGGTCGGTTTCATACTCTTGGCCAGTGGCATACTTGAAGAAAAGGAGGCAAGTTCTATTGCAAATTGGGTGGGAAAAGCTTGCAATTTATGATATTTAGAAGAAGTCATTTAGAGATGTAACCATAAATGGTGAGGCAAATTGTGTTGATTCATGTGTTTGTGTTGGAACCCTTGTTAGCCCTTCTTTTTGGTAGCCTTGTTAGCCTTGTTCAAAGCGAATCATTAGTTCCACTCTTTTTGGTTGTGTATGTTTCTTTGTTCATAAACTATTACATTTTGTGAGTGAGAAATCTCAACCAAATCGTGTTCTAGTCACGTCATTAAAGTCAATCATAACAAGCAGGGAAAAGTATTATCCTTTTCTTTTGTAGGCACTTTAAATTAACTCTTCCAATTACATTAAATTAAGTTCCATATGTAAGGACCTGAATGCTAAAATGTCAAATGTGATTTTTTGCAAAAGACGGGAAAAAAGTTTTAATGTGACTAAACAAACTTCATACGCATTTTCGATTTGTGTAGTTCTAAGTTGGCCCCTAGATATTAGGGGCGGAACTGTTAAGGGGATTGGGGGGCCTCAAGCCCCCCCTCCCTCCCGGCCAGCCGGAGAGAGCCAGAATACTCTCTGACCGGAGTCTTTAGATGGTTCAATTTTCCCTCTCAGCCACCCCCCCACCCCCCGCGGAAGTGTGCTTGATAGGGCTTATTCTTGGGCATTGAGATGAAATACCAGCCTTCGGGGTCTCAGACCTGGATTTTTAATTCTAAATTCGGACCGTAGCTGTCTTGCCGGAGTTGCAGGGACGGAATTAAGGAAGAAGATGGAGTTAAAAATTTTACAAAATTTCAAAATAGGTCCCAGACTCTAGTCATATAGTAAATATACCCCATATCACTCCATAATTCTTTCCCCTAGTCTTTTGTTATTATTTTTGACCACTTAACTTTCAAAAATTATAAAAGTAACCCAGTATTAATATATTTTTGTTATTTAGGTCATTAAAAAATTAGCTAAATAATTATGAACTAAAAAGGATCTTATAGCATATTTCCAAATATGTCTTTGGTCTTTTTTTTATATATATTTAATAGTGTTGGTTTTACACCCATTATGTGAATGTACTAAGATAATAAAATCATTTCAATATTTATTGATAATTATATTGTTTTAAAATTTATTTAATGAAGAAAAAAACTCTCGAAAGTCTAATGGACATCTAGCCCCCCAATACTAAAACCTGGTTCCGCCACTGCTAGATATAAAATATACCCCTACATGAATGTATTCATTATTGAGCCATGTTTGTCCACATTTGGCTGCCGAAATAAGAATGATCTAATTACTACTGACAACTAACTTTTTACTTAGATGGGATGACGAAATGAAAATCAAATTACTTGTATCCACGAGTTTGAATATAAAAAGGACTTAAATTATACTACTCCTTACTTAAACAACAGCCTGTTAATTGTACTATAACACTCCGACCAACATAACAAGAATTCATTCCACGAATTCAAGCATTCTTGTAGCTAAATTCTAGCTCATTATGAACAAGAACCTGTGGAAGATATTTAAAAAGAAAGGGATCTTTTTTTTTTTGATATCGAACTCTTATTTTCCTCAGTTATAAATTAACTTATGAAGGTATTGCTAATTCATAGTAGCAGTTTTTTTTTTTTGGTATAGATGTTCATTTGCACTAATATCTTTGAGTAATCATTGTTAAACTACGTTAATAGGCTAAATTATTTCATTTTCCTTGCACTCAATATTGCAAATTAGTAAAGTCTCCACAACTCACAAGCAACCAAGCACATGCTTCCTAGCCTGGTTATTCCCTCTTGTGTTTCCTCCATTTTTCTTTTCACGATCAAGTTTCATATAATTGATCCGGAGTTTATATCACCAGGGGATTACTCCTCGGAATCCTATAATATAGACATGGCCCTGTTGCTATAGTTAGCAACAATGTACAATGGCAGATCATTTTCCACAACATTTGATTGCCAATGTGCTTCTGAGGCTGCCATTTAATTCTCTGCTTCGATTCAGATGCGTATCGAAATCATGGCGCGATTTGATCGTCAGCCCATATTTCACCAAACTGCATTCCAAAACATCCCACATCGAAACCAGAATTATCTCCGTGAAAGGAAGTACATTTTATTCCTTGGATTCAGTTCCAGCAATTGCCAAACAACTTAACAGCCCGGCCTTGGAGTTTCCGGCCCGCGAGTATCAATTAGCGGGATCTTGTAATGGGATCATTTGTTTGTGGAATTCAGAGGCAGATGATCTTGTTTTGTGGAACCCCTGGATTGATAAGTTCTCAGCATTGCCTTTTCCGCCATATGAATTTCCCTCGAGTTACAGAGGTTGTTGTTTAGGTACAGGGTTCGGGTACGATTACATTGATGACGACTACAAAGTGGTAAAATGGCATACATTCAGTGATTTCTCTGATCATCTGAATAATTTACCAAGTTCTGATCGCTATGAACTCTGTGTTTATAGCTTGAAACAGAACTCCTGGAAGAGAATAAAGGATGCCATACCATTCCAGATGCCAGATGAATTCAATTTTTTCTTTCCTCATGAGTCAATGATTGTGCTTTTGCTAATGGTGCATTGCACTGGTTTGTATCCGATAATCCGCAATACGCCAACGAGTTCATCGTGGGCTTTGATCTTGGAAGCGAGGAATTTCGGAAGATTTCCTACGATCCAAGCCAAATAAATACAAAATATGTTTATGATCAGAAGTTATGTTCTTTGAATGGTCGCGTTTCCTGTCTCTGCTTTTACTCTTCGCTCTTTGAGCGCGGTTGGGATTTGTGGTTAATGGAGGATTATGGAGATGGAAGCTCTTGGATTAAGTTAACCTCCATTGAAGTTGGTTTTGATTCATCAGTTTCACACTCTAGGCCAGTGACATTTTCAATGGAAAGGAGGCTATTGTCATTGCAAATTGGATGGGAAAAGCTTGCAGTTTATGATATTGAGATGAAGACGTTCAAAGATGTGACCATAAATAATGTTGAGGCAATTTGTGTCGATTCGTGTGTTTGTGTTGTAGGCCTTGTGAACCCGTGTTCTTATTATCGAAAACAGGATTAGGGGATTGGTTCTGTCTTGCTATAACATGATGTATTCGTACTTCAATTCCATTTGATTTCGTTGTGGATGTTGCGTGCACTTTTGGCAACGTAGTATTGTTGCTGCCCTCATTACTCGACCTGACCTTTTTTTTTAATATGATGAAAGAGGCCAAAAAGAATTCGAAACTTAAATTATTAATAGTTACCAATAATATCGCGTTTCAATCATAGTAGTAATAATTTGAGTTTCCTAGACCAAAAGGATGGTAAGCAAACCAAATAATGAATGACGAAATTCACTTTACAATACCTAGGTTTGATTCATTCTCTACAAATCAACTCCTTAAACTCCTGTATCAATTATCAACCTCATATGGACCTGCTGTCGCATTATCACGCGAGTAAGGGTCACAACACTCTGATTGTTTACCCACGCAAGGCTTGACTTTTAGGATAGCTAGGATTTGGGAGTGTTAAATGCTTTGTCTGTGAACTTGAGTAAAAGCTCTTGTCTAAAAGGTGGGAGAATTTGAACTTAAAACAATGAAAATGCATAACATAAACTCCCTCCGTCCCATAATTATTGTCCAATTTAAGTTTTCATTTATAGTTCAAATTGTATTAAAAGTGAAATCTCAAATTGGACAATAATTTTGGGATAGAGGGAGTAGTACATAAATCTTCAATGGAGGTATTTCTTTAAAGTGGCACTTTCGAAAGTATTCCATTTCACGCATTTTATTAAGAGTAATTACTTCTTCAATTTAGTCTGCAAATTACAATGTACATCAGTCTTAGAGATGTCAATGATACACGTGATATGCTCATAATTTACCTATTTATTATATCCCTAATTTGTGATTTTTGCAATATATTTTGAGTACAAATGTGCTATTTATATGATTTTATCTTTATTTGTAGGTTTTGTACTCAAATGGAAGAATTGTTGAGATTTTGGACTAAATTGAAAAGAAAAAGCAACTCAAAGGAAGAAATTGAAGCACTTGAAGAGTTGGAGGAGTTTTAATTTAAATTGGCTTGAAAAAAAGTAACTTTCTCATTCCTGAAGAAATAGGGTTTGACAAAAGCCTATAAAAGGAGGATTAGAGTTTTATTTTTGAGACAGAGAACTTGACCGTCCTTCACAAAAAAAAGAAAAAAGAAAAAAAGAAAAACCCCAACCCTCTCCCCAACTCCTCCGCCGACCACCACTATCATCATCACCTGAATCATCACCATCACACCTTAATCATCATCATCCTATCAAATGCTCGCCAACCACCCGATGGGTGGCGCCCGCATCATTTTTTTAATTTAATCAATTTTTTTATAATTTTTTAATATATTTAATATTTACTAGTTGAATAAATATTATTATTAGTTTAATAAATTTATTTAATTCATGTATTTATTATATTTGAGTATTTGTTTGGTAATTTAATTTTATTTAGAAAATTAGGGTTTATGCTAATTAGGGTTTATGATATTGGTTTATAAAAAATATTAAACTTAAATATTTAGAGAATATTTTTTAATTATGTATTTTGTTCATAGGTTGTAGTTTTTATATTAAATGTGTTAATTTTTTTGTTAATAATGTATTTAGATTATTATATGTTGTAATTATGTTAATTACGTAGTATGTTCGTATGAAATAGTTTGTTTCTTGTTAAATGGGTGTTTAGGTAGTATGTTAATGGGTATAGGGTTTAGGTGTTAGGGTTTAGGATTTTTGTTAAAATAATGATTTTTTTTAATAATGTATTTAATTTGTTATTAGTATATATTAATTATCTTTAAAGTATAAGATCATTATATCGGATTATATATTTTATTTTTTGCTCATAGCAAATTATTTGTGGTTTAATATTGTTAGAGTTAATTTAAGTGATGATATAATTCATTTTTAATGTGTGCAGGATAGGTTTGATCAGGGGGATGGAGTCGATTATAGGTCGGCTTTTGCTACAGACGAGACTTTGCCACGAATAAGGAAGCTGTTGCATATGCGAAGGGTATTGCGAATATCTACAACATGGAGTTAAGTGTATCCTCGCACAAGGATAATAGTACTATACTCCTTTGTCATAAAGGAGGCCGGTACCAAGGTCAACAGGCAGATGACAACGTGCACGCCCGACTCAATACAAAGATACAGATGACCGGATGCCTGTTTCGCGTTACTATTTACAAGATCATTGATAGGTGGGCGATCCGTGTATATCCAGGTCCGTGGAGAATGCACAACCATTCATTGAAAGATCCACCTCGAGTCAGGAGGCCATTGAGTGCAGAAGTGAAAGAGCTTATTCAGGAGTACTCTAAAGCTGGGACTAAGGCAGTCCACATTTTACGGGAGATATGGACACAATTTCCTAATGAAAAGGTTACCTCCAAACAAGTAAACAACTACAGAAATTAATTGCGTAAGGAGGGGTTTCCAATTCTAGATGACCTGGCTGCCATGGAAGTCGTGGGAAAGGTGTTAGAGGTCGCAGAACAATACAAATACATCATCTTCTCTGAGTGCGATGAAGAGACACAGAGATTATCACACGTGTTTTTTGCACATCCGGATTCTTTGTTGCTGTTGCGGACGTATCCTTGGGTTGTTTGTGTAGATTCCACATACAACACAAACAAATATAAAATGCCTCTTGTGGAGTTTGTTGGAATGACCCCTTGCAATCAGACTTTCTTTATAGCATATGCTCTTCTGAGTGATGAGACGGGGGACAACAACCATTGGGCGTTGTGGCAGCTCCGTAACTTGTATGCGATGATCTGCATTCGAGTGTCATCGTGACTAATCGGGAGCCTGGACTGATGAGGCCTCTTGATGATGTATTTCCATCATCACATCACTTGTTGTGTACGTGGCACGTTTACAGGGATGTTGAAAAAAATGTGAAAAGAATTTTGAGCGGAAATGTGAACATAGCAAAAAGTTTCGCGTACAAGGCCTTTAAAAAAGTGATCGAAACTGCAACTCGGGAAGATTAAGAAGAAAAAGTGAAGTTTCTGGAGCATAATTGGTCCCAATTTCAACCCGTTCTAGAGTATGTCAGGAAGACATGCTTAGTGGTGGCGGACAAGTTTGTGCATGCATGGACCAACACTTATTTGCATCTTGGCAACACCACTACTTGTAGAGTGGAAAGCGCACACAAGTTGTTAAAGGAATGGTTCGGCACTGCAAATGCTTCTTTTGAAACGGTCTGACACATGGTTCACATGTTACTGGAGACACAGCTTACAAAAATAAGGTACTGGATTTTGATCTCTTTTTAGTTAATTTTTGTGTTTAGTTTGTTTAATTAATTTGTTTTAATTCCTCCACATGGAGAAATTGCAAGAATCAAGGCAGAAAATAGGGAGGCAACACAACAAGTACCCTTTCTACCAATTAAGATGCAATGTTTTACACTACTGCTTGGATTCATTGAACAATGAGTTGGAAAGGGCACAACAACTCGGAGATGATGTGTATTGGGAATGCAATCATTACCTGAAGCAAAATCATTCCATCCCTTGTACATGTATTCTTAAGCGTATAATGGAGGCCAACGAGATTTTGACTCCAAAATACTTACACCAATTTTGGAGCACACTTGACATCGGTGAGGTTACAGAGAAGGATAGTTCCGATGATGTTCCCCCTCACAGATTGTTGTTCAGGCAGTTAGTGGAAGAATTGAACGCTGCTGAGGAGCCAATACAGCGCGAGATCACCAGATTGGTGTACAACAAACTTCACCCGAACCAAGCCGGATCGAATGAACTGTGGGTTGGAAAGAGAGGCAAGGGCAGGCTGAAGAAAAGAGGCATCTCAAAAAGAAAGCAAGACAAACCAAATGTGTGAGCATACAGGGACCGCAGTCAGGGTGGCACCAATACCAGCGGTTCCAGTAGAGGCCATACGTCGGGAGCTGAAGATCAGAGCAGAGGTCCGATATTACTTTATCTTTTTAAATGTGCGAAATATTATTTTCATTTAATTAAAGCACTTTTGTTTCATGGCGTGCAAGAGCAGGTACATGGACTGGGCAAGGTCGGACCAACACCAGCAGTTCCAGTAGAGGCCACACGTCGGGATCTGAACCCAATGGCGGAGGTACGATTATAATTTATATTGTTATTAAATACTGATATGTAATCTAGAAATAATGATATTATTTTACTTGGTTAAAGATGTGATGCAGACAGACTTTTTCAAGTTTAGGCATAAGAATAAGATTCCGCAGATACTCCACAATCATGTTCAGTCATACCTTGATGTCGCTCCTGAAGGCAATTGTGGTTTCTGCATCTTTGCGAGTTACATGTTGGGAGGGCAGAATAATCATGTTTTGTGCAGGCAGATAGTGTATGATGAGGTTATAAATAACCCTGGGCTGTACGGGAACCTTTACGGGTATGAAGCCAGTTTAATTTTGTGAGCGATTTTAATACACTTGCATCAACGTTGTTTTATTTAAAACCTTCCTTTACTTGTCTTTGTAGGTGGAAAAAATTACCTGAAAACCTAGAGCGTATACGGTGGACTGGTACCTCCGTAGGTCACTGGATGTCGATAGAGAACTTTTATCCCCTTGCTACATATTTCAATGCTGTTGTATACTACTTCAGAACAGACGGTGCTGTAAATCTAGACGGCACATGTTGGACTGTGCTACCACTGATCGCACATGGCGGGGCAACAAGACCAGAGTTCCAGATAGTTATATGCCACCTTGAGCCTTACCATCACTTCATTCGACTCAATCTGCAGGGTGATTTTTCGATTCCCCCTATCCACCCCATTTGGCGGCACGATCATAATAGTAGTGTTATTGGTTGGGAAGTACCTCTTGAACCCAGAATGCAGCTATAGCGTACTTTGGTCCCGATAAGACCCACACGAGAATTTTGTGATCTCGGGTGATATGTCGTTAATTTTATGAGATCTTTACATAAATGTTCACATAAATGAAAATAAAATTGAAAATCAACATAAGTCCATAATGTTCACAAAAACGAAATCGTTACATAAATATTTTTTTAAAAAAAGCACTGAGTAGAATGTCATGGGGCTTGACTGTGACGGAAGATGACATCATCCAAGGCTGATTCTTCGCCACTCCTTACAGAGCTGGCGCAGATCTGTGCGCCAGCTGTACTTGCCCCGGCGCGGTTCTCCCTCGCCGACGGGGGCTGTTTTTTTTTTTTTTTTAAACAGTTCAAAATAAATAAAATTGAAAAAAACAATTCAAATTTTTACGTACTTTCAGTTTTTGTAGTTCTTTCCGTAGCCGTTTCATTCGTTCAACCATTGAATCTAAGTTTTTGGGAGTTTAGATTGAGAGAATTTGAAGTAAAAGATTGATTTAGGAATTGAAAAAATGAAATTGAAACTCTTAATTTATAAAATCATGTAGGGACAAAAAGGTCTTTTGGTACTATATTAGGGCGCTCAAGAGACATTTTTAGGGCGTTAGCAGCCTCCCAGTCTTTTTTCACGGCAATGTCACATGTTCATGGAATAAGATTTACATTCATTATACTAATAGATTCTTTTGTAGCATTCCAATTCTGTTATGTTTGGAAAGAAGTCATGCAGCATGTTTTATATCTGGCTTTTTTTGGCCCAAAAGTATGAACAAATTTTGGTCGTTTTGTCCTTGCTCATGCACTCTACTCGCTCATAGAGTTTTGACATAATAATATTGGAAATATATAATTTGATCATTAACTTACTTTATTTTAATCACTATATCTCATCTCTAGAGTTTGTTCATTTCAAATTAAGTAGATAATCCATATTCAACCTTCAAACTTATCATTTCATGTAAAATTTTCTTGTGAATGTTTATTACATACACACTACTTAATATAGTTGTATAAATATGTACTCCTTCAGATTTTTAATATAAAAACATTTTGATTTGTTTTACATTTACCTTAGTATCTATTTTTAATTGATAAAAGAATCTTAAAAATATTTTCTAACAATCAAGAAAATCCTTTTACAACGAATTTGAAAATATATTTTTAAATTTATTTTTTAATTTAAAAAACATATCTAGGATAAATTAAAATTACTTATATTAAGGACATGAGGAGTATTTACGTTCTTCGTAAATGCAAATATTTCAATATGTATGTCTATTGACTTTGAATTACCATCGAAATTTACCATACTTACAGCTAAATTGAATTATACAAATTGACCAAAAAGAAAGAGAGAAAAAAAAAAGAAGAAACATTTTCAACTACCTGTGCCCTCAGATCTAATCTCAACCATTAATTCTACTTTTCTCACGCAATCCAGCGACTGAGACCAGCTATCACCAGCCATATTACCCTTATAAAAAATTGCTAGCTTCATTTCGACTCCTAAATTTTTTTTTTGCCCTTTCCGTAAATTCCAAATAAACCGGCACATTGGAGGATATCATGTCCTTGTACTTCCCGTTTTTTCCAATTAAATAAAAGAAAATTTTCACACACTCACACAGTCAATTTAGTCTCTGATTCTTCGTCATCATATAAGAAGAGATCGCCGAGTCCTCGGAGATTCAAAGCAGAATATAATAGTATCCTCTCTGTCTTTGATAGATTTCGGAGTTTTTTTAGCTCAAATCTATATAGTCATTATATATATTTATAATCGGTGATTGTGTGTGTGTCGGTGTGTGGATCTAGATCTTGGTTGTGTGGTCTGTGTAGAAATAGTTACAGAGTAAGATAGAGAGAGAAGGAGAGATCTAGTGTGAGAGGATTGAGATGGAGGTCGCGAGGCCTCAAGTGTGGATCGCCGCGTCGATCGTCATCGTCGGACTGCTCTTCGCCACCGCTCATGGTTTCTACCTCCCCGGTGTCGCGCCGCAGGATTTCTTGACTGTAATTTTCTCCCCATTACTATTTCGTGTTTTTGTTGGCTGTGAATAATACTCTTTTATGTTTTTAATTGTTGGAGATTGTTAAGTGGTGTTTTATTTGCTCTGTGTTAATCAAGGATCTACATTTTCTGTCACTGTTTGAAATGTGTTTTGTGAACCATTCTATATTGTTCGATATGGAATGTGATGATTCAAATTTATACGGAGTTGTATATTGGATTTAACTGGTGTTTTCAGTCGGTTGTTGTTTTGGTATTAGTGTAACGAGCTAATGCAAGATGTTGCATTTTATCCGCGTTCTCTTGGCTTCAAAATCTCTTCATAAACTTGATACTGTCTTTCCTTCTAAGATTTTAACACTAATTATTGGGATCTATGTGTAGCCATTTACTCGAAATTTGTATTGATGATGATACAATCTTGTGTTACAGAGCTGCGGGAAGCAGTTTTTGTTTTCTTTGTTTTTTAGAGTCAAATTCCTGTTTGTTGTTTGTAAAAGGATGTGTTTTCAGATGCATCCAAGTTACTTGGTTTGATTTTTACTGATACTGAAGTTCTAGTTAGTGAAACTTGCAATTCTCTCTCTTTCAAATTTTTATGCCTTGTGGATGGGACATGCTTTCATCTCATTGGATTCTGGTTCTTTTTGTACTCTTTTTTTTTCCCCTTAATTGTGTTCTTAGCAATGACTTTTGCCTAGTTTTATGAATCAATCGGTAGAAGAAACTAATCTGATGTCCTTATTGCTAATGGTCATTGCTTGCCTCCATCAGTTTGTGAATTTTTTTGAGTGAATTGCATATGGTATACGTTATTGGGAACTTTTGGATGACAAAATTTTTGTGATTTTCTGAGCATGGCAGGAAGTAAATTTAGTTCAAGGAATTTCTACATCAAGAATGGAACTCGTTTACCACGTGCAAATAGTCCAGATATTATTCATAATTTGTGATCAAGGCAAATAGACCGTTGCTTAAAACTGGATCTTATCATCTGAAAGAACAATGGTTGTTTGACCCAATATAATAATTTGTGCATTCCAAATAATGGTCTTCGTTTATTGTCCGTGTCAGAAAAAAAAGGGAAAATACAGTCTTTAGTTTTGTTTAATCCTTTTCTTCTTTGGTTGGTATCTTTCTTTGACTATTGACTCAAGGAAGGTATTTGTTTTTATCATTTGAAGTGTTCCTTTTCAATGATTGTATTAATGATAATTCCAATCGAATTGTCTTTTATTTACCCGCAAAAAATTAAAAAAGTGTGTTTTAATTTCATGGTGGACTGAAATCTGGCTAACTCTTGGTTCTTGTTCAGATTTCATCTTCTATTTCTTCTGTTTATGTGTAGTTTTTTTATTAGAAAATATATCTATTTTGTAATATATATGGTTTATGCATTTGAGTTTTAAAAATCCAATATGAATCTGTATGTTAAACAAGATATCCCTGAAACATTAAATATTGTGGGCATATTTCGAGCTTTGGTGCAGGTTTTAGCAAATTGTCTAACGGATACTGCATAAGATCACCTTTACGGTCATTTTCTGTCTTTGTTGCTTCTGCCTTTGTTAACTTTGGCGTACCTTGTTGCAGGGAGATGATCTCATGGTCAAAGTAAACAAGCTGACCTCTACAAAGACACAACTTCCTTACTCCTATTATTCCCTCCCGTATTGTACTCCAAAAACCATTGTTGACAGTGCAGAGAATCTTGGAGAAGTTCTTCGTGGTGACCGCATTGAGAACTCGCCTTATGTGGTTAGTCACGTTACTTCAGTAAAAGTTTTGTTTGTCGGACCTAGTTCCACTTGGTATCTGTCAGTTGCCAAAACCAATTTTGGAAACTGATAAATTGATTCTGGTTTTGTAGTTCAAAATGCGGCAACCCCAGATGTGCCAGATCGTTTGCCGCGTTGTCCTTAATGCAAAAACTGCGAAAGCATTCAAGGAGAAAATCGAGGATGAATATCGGGTGAACATGTAAGAAGCTTCCTACGATAAATATTTTTGTTCGTCCTAGGAGTTTTCCTTCTTCGATTCCTATGAGATGTGTTATCTGTTCAATGTATGATTCCCTCCTCTTGTTGTATATCTCAGGATCTTGGATAATCTACCTCTTGTTATGCCCATAAAGAGACCTGATCAGGAAACTGTGGTGTACCAACATGGTTTCCATGTTGGGCTTAAAGGACAATATGCTGGTGTAAGTGTGAAAGTGTTTCTATTCACTTTGGTTCTTTTAGATTGTGAATTTTCAACTTCATCAATCTGCAACTAGAAAGTCTTTAACGTTTTGCTTGTTTAATCTTTTGTAGAGCAAAGAAGAGAGACAATTTATCTACAACCATCTATCATTTACCGTGAAGTATCACAGGGATACAGAAAGTGAAGCTGCCAGAATTGTCGGATTCGAAGTTAAACCTTTTAGGTATTTTGTCCCAATGTCTGGTGTTATTTAGTCTGTTTGTTGTTAATCTGATGATAGCTGCTATTTAGTCTTTTGTTTATTATTATCTGAGGATGTTTTTTGTTGTCCAGTGTAAAGCATGAATATGATGGTACATGGAGTGATAATGTTAGATTAACTACCTGTGATCCCCATGCAAAACGAAGTGTGACCAACTCAGATTCTCCTCAAGAGGTTGATGATAAGAAGGAAATTATTTTTACCTATGATGTTCAGTTCGAGGTAAGGCTAGAGTGTAAAAATGCTCCATTATTTTATTTTTTCATTAGTGAAGTCAGCCCTTTAATGTTAATTTTCTTTTATTGTTCAACTGGCAGGAGAGTGATGTGAAATGGGCATCTCGGTGGGATACCTATCTTCTAATGTCTGATGATCAAATTCATTGGTTCTCAATTGTGAATTCTTTGATGATTGTTCTCTTCCTTTCGGGCATGGTTGCTATGATTATGCTGCGTACTCTTTATCGCGACATCTCCAAGTACAACCAGCTAGAGACTCAGGAAGAAGCTCAGGAGGAGACTGGGTGGAAACTGGTCCATGGGGACGTCTTCAGGCCTCCAACAAACTCAGACTTGCTTTGTGTTTATGTTGGGACTGGTGTTCAGTTCTTTGGGATGACATTAGTTACCATGGTTTTTGCATTACTTGGGTTCCTCTCCCCTTCAAACCGTGGTGGATTGATGACAGCTATGCTTCTTCTCTGGGTCTTCATGGGTCTCTTTGCTGGATTCGCATCTGCTCGTCTTTACAAGCTGTTTAAAGGAACAGAATGGAAGAGGATTGCTCTTCGTACTTCATTCATGTTCCCGGGGATTGTGTTTGTCATTTTTTTTGTGTTGAATGCCTTGATTTGGGGCGAGAAGTCTTCTGGGGCGGTGCCATTTGGAACCATGTTTGCCTTGGTGGTTTTGTGGTTTGGCATCTCAGTTCCACTTGTTTTTGTGGGTAGTTATGTAGGATTTAAGAAGCCTGCTATTGAGGATCCAGTGAAGACGAATAAGATCCCAAGGCAGATACCCGAACAGGCCTGGTACATGAACCCAGTTTTCTCCATCTTAATTGGAGGGATACTACCATTTGGAGCGGTATTCATTGAGCTCTTTTTCATTCTCACCTCAATCTGGCTGCACCAGTTCTACTATATCTTCGGCTTCCTTTTCCTTGTGTTCATCATCCTGGTTGTCACTTGTGCTGAGATCACCATCGTGCTGTGCTATTTCCAGCTTTGTAGTGAGGATTATCTGTGGTGGTGGAGATCATACCTGACTTCAGGGTCATCAGCTCTCTATCTCTTCCTTTATGCTGCATTTTACTTCTTCACAAAGCTGGAGATCACAAAGCCAGTATCTGGCATTTTGTACTTTGGTTACATGCTAATAGCCTCGTACGCATTCTTTGTGTTGACTGGAACAATCGGCTTCTACGCATGTTTCTGGTTCACAAGGCTCATATACTCATCCGTGAAGATTGATTGAGGTGGAAGCTGAAGAAAGTAGTCTATGCTTCCAAGACAATTGTGAACCAGCTTGAAACTGGGTAAGGTGGCGAAGGGTTCCCACGATCATTGTTTGGTTCAAGTTTCAACTGCTTAATCATATAGTAATGTCATTTAACCTGTATACTGGTCATTTGAAGGTTGACCATCCTTTTTTTTTTTTTGTTAATTGCTGTTAGTGTACTGTTTTTGCATCTCCAAGAAGACATTATGCATAGATTTTAGAAAAGAATACTTATTTTATGACATGATGACTGAATTTCTTGTACGAATTTTGATTCATAAATTACCACAGGATAGTTAGCTGGTCCAACTTTTCTCAGAACTGCAGGTGGTTGACTAAGCTTTGCCTTCCCCTGAACTTTTTTTGCTCGGGTTTGTGGGAGCTTGTAATGGCATTAAGGACCTAGCTGCAGTTGATACTAGGTGAGATCACATTTAAGAACTTCTGCAAGCTCTTAAATGCTGTGATTCTCAAAACGTTGATGTAGAATGTAGACTGTATTTGCAGAAAGAGTATTCCATGTTTATGGAGGTGAGCCGGCAACCAGCGTCTAACATTGGCAACCAGAGTCAAATTCATCTTCCGCCTTCAGAATGGTGGATACTTGGGTCTTACTTTTTATGATTTCTCTGAAATAAGACTTCCATTTCTTAAAAGATCTTGAACCAATGTTTCACGAGAGAACTCGTATGGATTTCAATTAGTTTTGATGCAGTATGAGCAAAAAAGAGCATCCACAATCTCATAGACAGTAACACAATACGAAGAATACCATCAACAATTGCGGTGTCAAAGCAAGAAATTGGCAGCTACGGTTCAGGTGTACATCCGTCTAGACTACACGGAACAAAATGCAGGAGACAAGCTTTTTGGGCAAGTCATCATCAGGGTATTTAGTAAGCAAAAACAAGATTTTCGTAATCCGTGACAAATGGACCCAAAGGTTTCCAAGGAATGCTCAAGGGCCATATGACGACTTATCAACAGAGTATCAACATATCAAAGTGAATTGGCCGAAGCCCAATGTTGTCTTCCCCATTACTCCATCAAATATCTACTGACTTTTGTAACACCACTACCTGGGATTATACTTAACAGATTGACAATATCTTATCCCATGCTTCCGATGTGATGTGTAAAACCAGCTTTTTGTTTAAGTTAATAAATATATGGATAAGGATTCAGAGGCAGCTACTTAGTCCAGTTTCATCCGTCTTTACAGATGGGCGGAAAAAATTTGATCAAATATTAAATATTGAACAAGAGAATACACTTTCCTCTACAATGAAAAAAAAAAAAAAACTTCGGCAATCACGAATGCGAGGGACAACGGGGCACAATTTAACAACATTGCCGCTGATATTTCAAACAAAAGCTATTTTACAGATGGTAACATTCATGTTTAATATAGATAAGAATCAAAGCTGAAGTTGCAACTTGAAGTTCGTTCTGTATTTTGATATTTGCATATCATACATTTCTTTAAATTAACCCTTCACGTATATGCAAGGTCAGCACCGAAAACTAGCACAAGACAGAATTAGTTAGTCAGGATTTGCATATCATTCTGCATCAGCTGAGAAATCTGGCTCCGGGGGTTTCTGCAATTTCACCAACTCCCTCGCACTTCTAAGATTCCGGTTGCGGTGAACACCGCGAAGTGCATTAGCTGCAAATCTCGACGCCAGAAGGGTGGCACCCAGACTGTATGAACCTCCTGCAGCATTATTGCTCCCCACGGCTGCTGCTGCTGCTGCTGCAGCCGCCGCCGCAGCAGCTTCCTCTTCTTCTTCTTCCTTCTTCCGAAGTTCCATAAGCTTCCTTTTGCAGTGTCGGCGCCAAGCTGCTTGAATAAAACAAGCAGCCCATGTCCTCCACTGCTGCGAGTAAAATCGAAAAGTATGTTGAACCTGTCTACTGTGAAGCCTTCTGAATTGACCAGCCACAAATTTTAATTCATCAGCTGTTAAGGCGAAAGCCTCAACCTCTGTCAAAGCCTTCACAGTTCGAGTGGAAGATGGCAAGTTAGCACCTGATTTTGGATCCAGAGCCCATGTTAGAAGCTCCTCTCCACAAAAATCCCCTTCTTGTAACAAACTGCGGTTGAAAAATCCACTTCTTCCACCATCAGTAGTTACACTCTCCAAGCGACCACGTATAAGAAAGAGCATTTCATCAACTGGATCTCCCTCTCGAACAATGTAAGTGCTCTCAGTGTACAAGCAGGGTTTCAGCCGCTCACAAATGGCATCAAGTAGCCTCTCATCCATATTCTCAAACAGAGGAACCTGTGAACCATGGCAGGAGATGTAAGCAAAAAGCACAATTGGGACACCATAAATAGCAACATCAAAGTTCCTTGCTCCTAAACAAGGAAAAATCAAACTAAGATCTCTATAAAGCATTTTTGTTCTGTTTTTCTGTTCCCACTTTGCATTGGAAACGTTAGACTAAAGCATTTCAAATGTTAAAAACTGCATTTGAAATGTAACAAGTTGAGAACAGAGAAACGAGAATAAACCCCACAAATCAAGCCCATTCATCAGGACAAATTATGCATAAAAATACACCCTTCATTTCTCTTACTAATTTGCTTATTGGCAGATGTAGACGAGCACTGGCTGCTCTAAGACTGCTGAAGATGAACTATTTCTCAAATGACAGGATAAACTATGGTTTCAACATATCAAGGTTTGGCGTACCACAAAGCAGAGTAACATTTCAACCGTAAAAGGATAATAAGTGGACAGGCCAAGAATGAAAGTTCAGGTAGCAATTTATAATGATTACCCTCTTCACCAAAGCTAGACAGAGGTGGCGCTTTATGTCTCTTCTGAGGTCTTTCGGCAAACTCTGAACCAAATTCTCTTCATCCACACCACGAGTTTCCAACCACTTATATTGATCATAACGTCTAACTCGTTCCCGTAGATCCTGTGGGAGCAAACGATGATGCATCCATTGTTCTGAATCACGCCTTTTCACTCTCATCTCTTCAAGTCGAATAGTAAGTGACTGAAGATAGGTCTGCAAAAAGCCCCCCCCAAAGGAAAAGAATTTAAAAACAACATACGAACGAAAAATCAATGCACGACACACCGCAAGTCTTTAAACAACAGTTGCTTGCATTTACATGCTAAAATTTTAACGCATAAAAAGAATTCGCAATCAGCAGACCTCAAACTCCTCCATTTCATTACCCATTGTTTACACACAAAAACAGGCAGTTTCATAAAAAAAATTGGTGGCCGTTAAAAGGGGTTGGCTCAGGGATCTGGGTAACATAACTGGCATTAAGACAGTTCTACCAAACAAAAAATGACGGATTTGGAGCACAAGATAATCACAAAATGCCAATATCAGAAAGAGCTTACTCCTAAGCATCTAACTCCATTGAGGTAATGTTGCAAAACCTACATCGAATCTCTTTGCACCATCCAGAAGAACAGACACAAAACCAAAGGATGTCATGTGCAGAGCAGATACAGACTAGAAACTCTGGATAAATGTTCTACGTTCTTTCTTGCCATTCCATAGAAAAAGAAATCTCTACATCAAATGTGATAAGAAAAAGAAAAGCAAAGTACCAATTTTCACCAAACTCGAGACAACAAGAAGTTTTGTTCACCAGTTGAAAATAGCATACGCAACTTTACGCAACAAACATGTTCGTCAGTTACCAGATCAGCCAAAACAGTTTAGAATGCTCATCCTCCCTTGAAAACTATGATAACCACTCATAATTTTCTTTAGGATACCATGGGTATTTATTTCATGAACTTCCTGCAAAATAGATTTAACATAGTTCCTATGTAAGGAAAATTGAGGAAAGGTCTTTTTCTATTCCATTTGCATAAGAGCTTGATTGTTAAGTTGGCCCAATTTTTCTGCATGAAGGCCAACTCTGAAGTTTTTAATTGTTTTTCCCATTGTCAACAACCTAAGACATCTCATTGAATACCAAGAGATTATCTTCTGTGTGCTTAGTGCAAGTATCATTACAATAATTCCTTTTCACGTAAGAGATTATCTTCTGTGTGCTTAGTGCAAGTATCATTACAATAATTCCTTTTCACGTAACGGAAGATCTTTTCCTTTTCAACTTGCAAAAGATTCTGAATGTCAAAATGTCAATTTGCCATTATTTTCAGCAAAGCCCATCCGCTGTACATGCAAGCTGCCATTGCTTGTTAATAAAAGCGTATAAGGCATTAGTTATGACCACAAAACAGCCCCTTTGTTAGGTTGGATTTAACTAACATAGAAGCCTTCCAGTTCGGAAGACGTTTGAAACTCTTTTAAGAACAAAATTTATAGCAATTAAGCAACCACGTTCCAAATGAACACCTTTCTCTTAGAAAGTAATATTCCACATTTATTGTAGATCTTTACAAGCTCCTAAGACCGCTAAGAAAGATTTCAATAATCTTGGTTTATTTTACTTCTAACAGTACAACAATTTAAGACAAAGAAAAGATTGTTCCTTGAGACATTCTGATATTTGATAATTTCAACTGGTAATGGATATCAGAGTCGAGCAACAATGGGAAACAAAGACCATGAATGCCACCTACTAATGAGCTAAATATAATGCAGAGGAGAGATCAATCGGGGAGATGTTACAAGAAAACAAATGAGATCATAAACACTCCTTTAAGCCAAAAGATGGACACAGTAACCATATAATTTCACGACTTTCGGGTGCACATCATTAGATTTCATGGGCGACTAAGAAAGCTTCAGACTACAGTAACCATCATAGTTTAACATTCAACTCAGCTGATTAATTGGGAAAAAAAGTACACATACACACACACACAGAGGAAACCAAAAAAAATAGCTGGCCAAGCAACATGCAAATTTTTCTCTGAGATTTATGAGGTACCTGCATGTTGCCAATCAATAATGCGAAGAGGATAAGGCCAAATATTGCGAGTGCAATAGAGAAAAGAGACTCTCCAGGATAAGTACTAATTTGAAGTCCCTGCCCAAGGGTACTGCACAAAGAAGTAGTGTAGCGCAGGTGATATATTAGAAGTCCAAAATAGTCATAAATTGCTATCACAATGAGCAATGATTGAAAAAAAAATTGCAATAAGAATTTCAAAAGAACCTGACAAATACTCTGCCCAAGGACAATACAATAGGCAAAAGGATTCGCATACATCAGAATACATGTTACTTTTACAAAAATGACCAGTTACTTTTACAAAAATGACCAATTACTTCCCGCATATCCTTAGCATATCATCTTAAGAATAAACCTAAAAGTTCCAGATAGTTGTCCCAGTTTCAACTATGTCACGGAATACAGAGGAATCGCTCCTTTTCTCACCAGACAATTTTCAATCAATTGCTAGTTGACTTCCCTCACGTATGATACCTAGTTCATACATAGTTCAGAATGATAGATATAAGAAGCCTCCAAATTTAACTGACCATTTCTCCCCTCCAGGTAGAATGAGAATTCTTATAGGTTTCTGTCGACTTCACGAAACCCCATTTCTGGAAACTCATGAAAGTACAAGTAGAAGCAAAAGCACAGAGGAGAGTCCCCCCCTCTCTTTCTCTATTCTGCTGATAGTTAACAGAATCACAGTCCATCAAGAAACCGACTCCAAATAAGTTCCTCAAGCTGTTTGATAGATTCGACAAAAGTTTGCTCTGACATTAATAGCCAATCTCTACTTGACCTATATCCCCCATCAAATCCATCCAATGACCAGTTCCTGAAAGATCTTTAAAAAAACAGTCCATGATGGGGAACGGGGGGTAATTGAAAACAGACGGAAAGGCAAACCCTAGCTGTAGGGATTTCAGAAAGACAAAGTCTTTGGAAGCTTCAAAAGCTTAAAATTATATTAATATCAAAAACATCCATCACAACTACTGCAGAATCACCCTATTTATAGAGAAGCCTGGCTTATTCCTAAAGATACTAAAATTGCCTAAAACTAATTAATAATTAAGGTAATTAGCAAACAGGAAATTAAACTAAAAAGAAACTTAATTCTAAGAAGATTCTAGCTATTTTCCTTAAACCTAATATGAAGCTACCCATATTTCTGAAATCTTCCTGCATCAACTCTCCCCTGCTTGAAAGAAAACTCGTCCTCGAGTTTTGCTTTGGGTTTTCCTCTATCAAAAGGAATTCCAGTTAAGTACTGCAATGCCTTCTTTCTTCTCCTCCTCCAAGCATAAAGAACTTTATGTCATGGAAACCTCTTGAACCAATAAAGTATCTTCACCTTGAATAGAGATGCAGGTTTTAGTGTAAAAACAGACTCATTGGTTTGATAGCAATCACAGACAAGCACTTTACTGGACAAAGCTATTTGATGAAAATTGATGTTGTGTAGAACTTGATTTTCATCTGATATCTGTGTTTCCAAAAAAATTTTCCTCAGCTTTCCTCGATCAAAAGGACATCCTGCAGACTCTTTCAATAACCTCTTTCCTTGATTCTTACCGAAGGTTAAAAGACTTAATCATCGTAGTCCAAAACAACCTCCTTCTGTTGTGGAAACTATGGTTCTTCATTAAAAGTACCATATTATTGACAAACAGGCTCTTAAAGACATCCACAAGCACTGTGCTAAACTCTTCGAGCTCTAAGACCTGAACTTGTTGGGTACAACTCAACTTTTCCTGGACATAACCAAAAGCTGTTGCACTCTCAACAAGATTCTGGCAACCCAAATCAAATCTGTCAACACCAATCTGCTTGTAACACACCTTTTCCTCCTTGTTTTCTAAATCACTTAAAAGACAAGGCTCACCAAACTCAATAACATCCTCCTCAGAGACATCCAAACCCTCATCCCAATCTTCCGGGTACTCATCATAGATTGGTGGATTGTTCCAATCAAGATCATGCTTCTCCCATGGATCATAATCTAAACCATGAGAGAAAATCCCATCCTTCATATTACCTTCCGGTAAGTCTGAAGAATAATTACTGCAATCTAATCGTTCTTCAAGTTGACCGTGTTGATCTCCGGGACCATAGAACGGACTGACCTCTTCTACCTTATGTTTATACATCCCATCAACACCTTCAGGTGGATCAGGATCTTCGATACCTTTGGGTATCAATCCCCGTGCTGCCGCACGGTTGTCACGTTGTTGGTTCTGCACCAGCAACCTGAGTTGCGTAAGTTCTCGTCGCAATTCTTCAATCCTAACCACATATTCCTGATTCTGAACTCTCCTAGGGACAGCAGCACAGCCTTTGCGTGCCATCGAAACCTGGGGCTCGAGATACCAAATTGATGGGGAACGGGGGGTAATTGAAAACAGACGGAAAGGCAAACCCTAGCTGTAGGGATTTCAGAAAGACAAAGTCTTCGGACGCTTCAAAAGCTTAAAATTATATTAATATCAAAAACGTCCATCACAACTACTGCAGAACCACCCTATTTATAGAGAAGCCTGGCTTATTCCTAAAGATACTAAAATTGCCTAAAACTAATTCATAATTAAGGTAATTAGCAAACAGGAAATTAAACTAAAAGGAAACTTAATTCTAAGAAGATACTAGCTATTTTCCTTAAACCTAATATGAAGCTACCCATATTTCTGAAATCTTCCTGCATCAGTCCAGATAGCCAAATTATATCTTAACTAGATCTGGACCCTACAGGGTAAACACAATTATTTATTTTGTCCTTATATCCAAAGCTCCTCCAGAATATGGCCCCAAGGGCGAAAAAAATGTCCCAAGCGGAAAGGAAAGGGAAAAAGTCCAAAGAAGGAAACTTGAAGCTTAATTAACCATATAAATAAATAAATAAATAAACAAATGAAGGCCAAGAACTGTCTCAATGGGGCATCCTTCAAGCAACAAACTTAAATAAGCCTTTAGACCACAATTTGTGTCACCAAACTACCAATCATGTTCTACCAAAAAATCTATCTGTATCTGTGCTTCAATGCATTAAGGCTATTCAAAGTTCCTTTCCAAGCATCCAAACTACTCTAAGAATTTTTCTCTCATTCCTCCTCTATTGGAATAATTTTCTTTCCAAAGGATTAACAACATATTCTACTCAACACACTCATTTCACTATCCTCACTTTCTCTTCATGCTTATAATAAGATAAGAAACATTTTCTGATGGAGAGTTGAATATCCGCTTAACCTTTTCTTTTTTTGTCATTGCAATGTAACAACAACATCAAAGATTATTAGTAAAAGAAAGTACAACACTACCACTAGGTAGGATTGCAGATGTACGGGTTAATTTAATTTAAAAAGCACCTAGAAGAAGACACGGCAGAGAATATGAAGAAAAGACCCTACTTGAAACGTATAACACCCAAAAAAATTAAAGAAAATAAAAAATAAAAAATTTGACTCACCTTAGATTCTGCAACCCCCACCAAAGACAATAACAATACTTGGAAAAGAATGTCTTCGAGTACACTATGCCTGACGACATGGCTTGCTTAAAAATTCCAAAATCAAACTTTGTATCACCATCTTCCACGCCACACTCTGTACTTAAAACCAACTCTCTAATGTTCCCCCAAGAGCTGAAATCTTTCATATAGCTATTGCCACAGTACAAGAAATCCGTATGACAAGTTGCATTATGCTTGCATGCTTTCTGCCAGCAGAAGTCATTGCGTTCTACAGAGAGTAAGTACCAAAGTGCCCCGACAATCTGCAAAGTAAATCCAGCCCCATAATAAAGAGATTTCATCAGTATATGCAATCATACTACCGGATGTAAGTACTTGAAATATCATAAATTAGAATGTTTCGTATGCCAAACTACTCAAAAGACTTACATGGCTGGCCAGCATGTACAATAACAAATAATACACAGCACCAGCCCAGGCAGTTTGAGCAAATACACCAGCAGTGCGTTTCAGTTCCGAGGTGAGGGGCAGTATTCGAACAAATCTCGGGACATATTGAAGCATCACTATACAAAGTAGTGCTTGTTTTGTGGCATATACATCTGAACCTTGAGATTTCTGAAGAAATCTCCAGACAACAATCTGCATGATGGGAACAAATTGTAACTGTATGACAGTAAAGTTTTTCAACAATCAACCACACATAACACTGCCTCTAACTTTCCATAGTTGAAGTGACTTTTGAAAACTTACAAGTCAAGAGACATGTATGTTGCTGCCAATTTCTAAACTTTTAGCACTTTGACCAAAAGCCAGATATTAAAGAGCACTTGCAATGCAAACAAAAAACTAACTGTTGCATCGATGAATTTTTAAATGTAAAAGAGGACAATAACAGAACCAACCAAAAAGAAAGGATAAATATACAAGCATCCAGATATACAAGAACTTTTAGATGATGCAAAAAAAGGGAGTGTAAATGAAGTCAAAAGGAAAATTTAGGAATTCCAACACATTTTATTTGGCACAGGAAAACCATACCGTCCAATGATATCAATGAATGTCCATGAAAAGATTTGAAGCAGATGTAGAAAATACACTAAGCAAGCCAATGAAATAGCGACATACTAGCAGTTAGACATGAGCATGATATGAGATACAACAACATATTCAGAAAGCCTTTTTTCTCACAATGTTGGGAGCATGACATGAGATAAGTAATGAAATTAACTACTCAGATGGGGACCTAACAAAAAAATTTCTGTAGATGAAAAACGCATAATCTAAAAATAGATACTTCTTCTAGTCAAAACAAATCAAATCCCTCAACAATGGATAAATATGCAGTTCTGGACCTTTCAAAAGTATATAAGAAACAAAATCATTTTCTCGATCCGTAAGTACAAACACGAATGGTAAAACTAAAAATAAGCTAAAATACAGCCACTCTAGGAACCTCAACAAATGCTTTACCCTGACCAACATAACTTACAATTAAAGCTGTAAAAAAAATATGTGTAGTAAAAGGTAATCAAACCTGAGGTAGTGGAAGTATAGCAAGGAAATCAATGACTAAATAACTACGCATATATCGTTTTGCAATTTGAGCCTGATCAATCACAAGTTCTCCTCGTCCAAACACCCGCGATGAAGGAGCGACATAAGCTGTCCGAAACTGAAGTGCCATATGAATTAGATAGAAAGCATCGATTATTGTGCGCAATGTGGTAACTACGATAGCTAATGAGCGATGTATCCCAAGGCATTTCGATGGATTATCAAAAACAGGAAGGTAGAAGAAAAGTGGATCCACGGAAACTGCCAGAATACATGTTATGACGAAAAATCTATTCCACTGAAGAAGAAACTTGTCTTGAGGGTCAAATATCTTCTTCTCTGACACTTTTAAATCTTCAGGGAACACTGCTCTCGAAACTCCAAAACCAAAAGATCGACCAAATGATCTAAGCCCTTGAGATCCTTTCTTCATTCCTTTTGCTTTGGATGTGGTGGTCGTTGAAGAACCAGCATTTCCTATGCGTTCAATGCTGAAACCACATTTGTTAGCTGTTACAGAGGCTGATGGAGATGACAGAGTTGAGTCCAAGTCATCCAATCTATTCACAAAAAACACCAAACTGTTTTTAGGAGCTCCGAAGTGGCAAGCGATCATTTATGGAACGAATCAAATAGAACTTCAGCTATTGAAGATAAAATAATTTTTGGATATGCCTCATTACCCACACAGTCTTTTTCCACACACAAAAAAAAAGATGCATTCCAAACTAAATCACATTGGGTAAAAGAAAATTACTAGCAAAGATGAAATCCGAAACAGTTTACAAATCAAATCAAATCTTGGAATTCAGGTTACTAGAGAACAGAAAGCACTATAATCAAAGTAAAAAGAACGTAAAGCATTGCTACAATAATAACAAATTGTAATATGAGGAGAAGTATGACCCCCAAACCAACCCTGTCTAAAGAAGTGCATTTCTTGATTTACCTCAGCAAATGGTTAAAAATAAAAACACCTTGGAGAACCCACGTTATTCTTTTCATACCCAAGAGCTTTGGTACATTAACAAAACAAAGAATTGAGTAAAGAAAACTTTAAATTAAAAATCCACAATGATGCCTAAAAGCATGATCTAAAACCTTACTACAGAAAGGTACTTATCCTCCTAAAAACTCATTGAACCAAATGACAAAATTTCCTATTGTAACAAAAGCCACAGTTGACACCAAGTTATCAGGCCATAACTCATAAGAGCTTAACTAAGTATAAACAATGCAAAATGGAAGTACCTTATAAACTTCTCCCGCTGTCCACCTATATACTGTGATTTTGCGGCAGGATCAAACATCTTAGGCAATCAACGGCATTAATTAAAGCTGCAAGGAAAGGTAGAAGGACAAATACTTAGTGTAAGGAAAGAACAGACTATATCTTTTCTCAACAAGTACTCAACATAAACAGAATATTTGGCAAGCCAGTTAAGGCCAACAAAAAAATTAAGTAGCACATCAAATTTCCTACCAACATAGAAATAGATAAGATAGGAATACGTTTTCAACTTCCGTTGAAAACTTTTGGAACACACCACCGCAATAGAGAAAGTACACTTCACATAGATTATAACCCTAGAACTAAGTTGTGAGAGGACTCTCAAAAGTACAAAGTGTAAAAGCAGAAATTGGGGAACTGGCATTCAAAATTGCAGTAATGGTAACCCTAAGGACTACAAGCAATTTACTATAAACAGTGATATAATACAACTTAAAGTAGTTGTGACAATTCTGCACCAACTGCAACCCAAATAAAGAAGTCAATGGAGAAGGCCAAATGCGTAAAGTTGGCCATACAAACTCTCCAAATCCCGAAAATTGCTTCAGGTCCTCAATCGCACTAAATAAAAAACAATATCCATAAAATATAGGAAACAGTTTCATAAGTTTTTAAATGAATTATAATTGAACTTTTCTCAAGAATTTGTTCCCAATTCTAGAATTTTACTGCCAACACTTCACACAAAAGTTTAATAAATGGCTACTAAACATCAAATAAATACTCCAACAACATCATACAAGAAAACCACTCAACCTAAGCCTGAAAACAAAGACATGGACTTTATCCAGATCAATACCAAAATTGGCCCTCTCCACCCATCACTTCACATGGAGAATCGCTCTCCTCCAACAGGGACATCAGAACCAAAAAATAGAATCAAGAGAAAAACGGGGCAAACAAGATCGAAGGCCCACCAATATAGTCAAGCAACCAAATCAAATTCTTCATCACAACTTCCCAATAACAAACATAATTAATCTAATAAAAATCCAACATTTATTCACCGAATTCCCCCAAAACCCCCGACCCTCCTCAGCATAGACTCTAAAATACCCAACAACACATCATATTCTAGATTCAATGAAGAAAATTAGATCAGGAAACCAAAACTTACAGTAAACAGGACTTCAAGTTGCAGCATAAATTGAAGCACAAATTGAGGGGAGTTACGGTTGGACTTTGGAGAATTGCAGTTGAAAGATGTTGAAGTCAAAATACTTCCTGCGGGTTTTTTGGGTTGCCCAAAAACTTCTCTTTGTCCAAGTTCTTGAGCACAACTACCCAAATGGGAAAATGGTGGAGAAAAAACGAAGAATTTTGGCAGTGAAAATCTTGGTCAATATGAAATATGACTGCTTCCCAGTGGCATTTGTCTCTTTCTGTCACATATTTTAATTTTTTTTATTTTCGTTTTGTTTTTGCTATTTTTTACACATTTTTTCCCTTTCTTTTCTTTTTTGGTTAACCATTTTTTCTTCTTTCGTTTCCGAAATTAACCGCAGTTTCCTTTTATATTTTCTAAGGAAATTTCGGATAAATGAAATTTTGACAGTTATTTTCTTCGATAAATTGAAATTACAGTCGGAATCCACGGGTCTTTAACAAGTTTCACTCAAGTCCTCCCAAGATATTTAAATGTTGGTATTTGGTCCTCTGAAAAGTTTGATAAAACAAAATCGCCCAAAGATATTACCTTCTCTATGCTACAATGATTATTCAATTTATTTTCAAAAAAAAAATTGTTGTATTTAAATTAGGATTTTCACTTTTAGTACTCCCTCCGGTCCTTATTATAAGGTATTTTGAGGCATTTTAATTTCGTCCTATATTTCACCTAGGATGTCTTTTTAATTGGAATAAAAACCTTAAAAATATTTCATAATAATTAGAAAAACACAACGAATGCGAAAAAATATTTTTAAAGTTTTTTTTCTGATTAAAAAGACATCTTAGTTTAAACTTATGACAAAATCAAAATGCTTTATAATAAGGACCGGAGGGGGTATAATTTGAATCAAAGATAAAAATTCAAACTAGGTAACCATTCTGGGATAACGGACAAAAAAAAAAAAAGCTTTTCGATCTTAATAAAGAAAATTGAAAGCTATTCTTACACTTCCAACCATTTTTAAAAGTTATTCATTAATTTTTATGATACATAGAATTGAAGATTTCTTATCTTCTCAATTCTTCAAATTAAAGAACGTAAAACTAGTTAACATAAGGCTGGCCAAAAAGAGAGAGAGAGAGAGAGAGAGAGAGAGAGAGAGAGAGAGAGAGAGAGAGAGAGAGAGAGAGAGAGAGAGAGAGAGAGAGAGAGAGAGAGAGAGAGAGAGAGAGAGAGAGAGAGAGAGAGAGAGAGAGAGAGAGAGAATTTTTACTAACGTCGATCATGATTAAAATAGTGAAAATTTCACAATCAAACATTAGATGAAGATAGAGACCCTGAACAACTCTGTGGCGCAATATTCTAATAGCTTCAAGTTCTTGACCCTTTAATCGATATTTAAAGATATTAGTGCACTTTCAGACAACGACTTGAAAAAAAAAAAAAAGAAAGAAAGAAATGGAATGCATGATCAGCATTAAGCGTAAAAAATAATAGTTTTAATATAAGAAAACCAAGCTTGACAAGAAATTTCAACAAGCTCTGAGTTCATCATTTTGCTCGTGCATTTTTTTCTTTTTATTTCGAAATAATTATCTTGTTCATTATATTATTTCCTCTTGAAAAGATGCTTCAATTACATGAAATAATCAATACCGATGCTGCTTTGATAATTCATGACAATTTACGAAGCAAAATCTTCCGGCTGGCGAGGTAACAATTCCTGCCGACTCTCCACTCCCACCTGATCTTCTACTTTTCGCTCCTTCTACAAATGGATTCCTTAGTACTCCCTCCGTCCTAAAAAAATAATCCACATTGAATTTGTAAATTTGTACTAAAAATAGTACAAAACTCAAAACTCAATGTGGACTATTTTTGTTGGACGGAGGTAGTACATAAGTTTGTATACATTAATATATTCCGAGTTTTTTTTTAATTAACCTTATTTGACAAATTATGTCCCCTAAATAACCCAAACTGGAACCAAATTGCTTCTGTAACTTAAAATGACGCCACATAGACTCAAATTTGCCACTGAGATAAAGAAGTCTTAATTCGATTCCATTTTTTTTCCTTTTTAGATACAAACCTGCTTCTAGCCTTCCACTTTCTAAGGCACCAGAACTGAAGGCTTGCAGCAGATGATTAAAGAGCCAATACAAATGTGAGGGGCACACAATGCCACATCTGCTTAATTTTAATCAGAACCTTCAATCATGATAAGAATCTTGTTCCAACCTACAGACTTACATATCCCTAATTTTTTACGTGTTCGACAATTGCCAATACTTCTCCTCATTGCCATAACCTGTAAAATGGTTACTACCGAGTTCCATAAATGTAGAAAATTGAGCATGCTCCAAAAATACTCCCGAAAAGCCTTTTTATTTTTCAGTCCATTCCTTGCCGAAAAGAGACACCATTATAAATTAAACCTTTTCTATTTCTTTTCATCAAATAACTATTTGAGGTGCCAAGATCCATTCAAATTCGCACTTTTCCCAATTATAAGATTAATATTTGTTGAATTGGTGGTTGAGATCTAATGTCCTCTTCTCCAAAATGGATCAAACTTGACAAACAACTCTGTTTCCCACACCTCGGCCTGATGGAGATCTATTGAGTATTGAGGGTATTTTTCTAATTTTGTGCATGTGATTATGGATCATGGTGAACCATCGAAATGAAAAAATGTATTAATTGTTACTGAATCCTGTTGAAAACTTAGCAGGAGTGATATGCTGATTGTTGATCTTAGATAAGTCCTTGTATTTATTGATTTATTTTCCATTTTGATAATTTAAATTATGATGACATGGCTAGGTGAAAATTATTGAGGGTATATGATTTCAATTTAAGTTACCTAGGGACATAGTTTGATAGACAATGTTACGTTAGACTATATTATTACAAAGCGTTGGTACGACACACCAATTACATCATGATAAAATTAGTGTTTCAACTCATCCGGACGGTCGTCCAGACAAGTCAAACCTCCCGGACTGGAAGCCGCTAATGAAGCTAGAGAATCTGTTGCAAAGTTCCCCTCCCGATGGATGTTTCAATTGTCCATGCTCTGTGCATCAAATCCTGAATTGCCATGACTAGACTTCGATGCAATACAACCACTTGGTCACTACCCTCCACCATGTTAACCATGCTTATGTTGTCAACCTCCGCAATGATAGACTGAAAGCCCAACTCCCAAGCAAGATTCAAACCCTGAAAAAATCCCCATAACTCCGCCCCAGTAATCGACAAAACCCAATGTTCATTATAAAACCTCCACACCAACGGCCAGTATGATCCCGAATCAGACCTCCCGAGCTTGCCATCCCATCATGACTAGAGAAGGAGCCATATGTTATAGTCTGCTAGGCAATATGCCTCCTTTACTTGTACAAAAAAAAAGAAAAAGACAAGGTTACTTTAGAAAAAAACTCTATATATTTCTCTTTTTGTTCTAATAATGTTAATAGTGTTCTAATTGTTTAATATTACGGTAAATAAACCAATAATTTTGGATAGGGAGCCAAGTAACTTGATTGATGATGACCATGAATAAGAGAGCATATTAAGAATGATTCTGAAGCTATATCCCAATAACGAATTCAAGTTTTTATTCAAATACGAACTATTTTGGTTCTTTACATTTGGGTTGTAGAGATGGCTTTCTGTTGACTTTGATAGAAAAAACAAAATACAGGAAAATAAAAATAAAAAAAAATTCATTTTGCTAGGTAGTAGATTTTGGACCAAAATAGTTTATAACTTAAATGCATTAGATGAAAGAAAACGTTTTTATTTGTAAAGGACCAAAATTTATTTTTGGCCAAATGTGAAAGAACATGATGGTTCAAGTTTTTTTCAAGAATTAATTTCTGCTAAATAATTGGGAAAAAACGTGACATGCACGATTGAACTAATTAAATTGAGATTTTTTTTTTTTTTTTTGGGTAGGGATTCTGGGGGAGAAGAAGCTTTTCCCCACAGATTAGGTCATGGAGCGAACAGTAATGTTGACCTAAACCTAAAGTAGTGTCGTAGTCATATAGCAATTGTGTTTTGTTTTGATTTTTTCCCCTTATGAAGACATTAAATGAAGAAAGATAGAAATTTAAATCGTACTTACACCCCATTACGTGCATCCCTTTTTACTACCCAAGAAAAGGAAATTTCGACGTCCTATTCCTGATTTGAATGAGATTCACAGTACCCAAACCCTATTGTACTTTAGTTTGAAGTCTACAAACCCAAATTTATAACCGAATTCTATATTTTATTACTTAGTATGTGAATAATTGATAGATTTGCATAGGATAAAAACAAAGTTTTATATAGAACACCTAAAATTAAGTTTACTTAAATTTTTACACCATCTCTAAGTTTTTATATATCAAATTAAGCTTCCTGGTCCAAACATTTTAGGGGCCCTAGTACATATAATTAAAATGGATATAATTAAAATGGGTCGTAACAAATTAAATATAGTCTATTTTTGTGATGGTATGAACTGTTTTGAGACCCGAAAAGGAAGAAGAAAGGAGATTTCAGGCAGAAATAGATGAGGAAAGCAGAGATGAAGATGAGAAGAGAATGAATTTTAGAGAATAAGATGCAGAAGGGAGAAAACTGGAACAGGAGGAAATTCCATTTGATAATATTTTCATAATAATGCTTATCGGATTCTCAATACATTATATACACAGAAGAGATTCCTTCTAATCCCTTAATTTAGCTAACAACTCAGGAAATAGAAAATGGAAAAGAAGACAAAAATAACAGCATTTTACAGCTCACTACATAGTACAGTTTGGACGTTTGCATTGAAGGAATTTCCAGGAAGCTGCGCTGGAAGCTTGGTCCCCAATTAAAGCCGAATGACGCCGTCTACTTGCCCTAATTGATGATTTAAAAATTACCCGAATTGCCTAACACGCCTTCATAACCCGGTTTGCATGACATTGCCACCATCTGAAATCATACTTGTCCTCAAGTCTGGAATGCTGGAAATTTTTTCTTGATGAAAGAGCAATCTTCCCACGAAGAATCTTCCTCCGGCATGTGCTTCCGTTTAACTAACCACTGGGCAACTTCCTTGGTTCCTCTGATCACCATTCTTCTCTACAAAATGCTTCTGGAATCAAGGCAGTGTGCTCAGGATCATCTAAATCAGGCAATTCTGTTGGAGTATCTGGTCTGGTTCCAATGAATTTTTTGAGGAGGGACACATGGAAGACAAGATGGACTCTTGAATGAGCAGGTAATTGTAATTTGTAAGCAACATTGCCAATCTTCTCCTATACTTCAAAAGGACCAAAATATATGTTCATCGGTTTC